AGGGGCGGCGACGGGGAGGTCGATGGCTGCAGCGGGTGGGAGGGGAGCAGAGGAAAAACCTCCCAACACACGGAGATGGAAGGTTGGTCCGCCTCTATGGGTTGTACATCCTGCCGTGGGTGGGTCGTCCTAGGGTCCCTTCCGAACAGCTTGTAGCCGCGCGTATTTTTATCGTTCGATGAGGCTCCTTAGGTCATACCCTGACGCACAGGAAAAGTACTATCCATTCCATGCCGAGCGGGTATTCTGCTTTCCATCCGGAAGAAGACTGCTAGCACTCGCTCGACCCGATCGTTTTCGGGTCTTTTGTTGTGCCGGTTGCGTGGTACATCCTGCCGTGGGTGGGTCCTTCTAGGGTCCCTTCCGAACAGCGTGTAGCCTCCTTGTCCTCGCTTGTTCTAATCGTTCGACGGGGCTCCTTAGGTCATACCCTGTTGCAACGGAAAATTGTTCTCCATTCCGTGCCGAGCGGGTATGCTGCTTTCCGTCCGGAAGAAGACTGCTAGCACTCGCTCGATCCGATCGTTTTCGGGTCTTTTGTTGTGCCGGTTTCGTTTCGACCGTTATTGACGCACTCAACGTTGGACTTGGTTCTCTTGGCCGTCGTGTTCAACCAACACAGGGCGACGGCGGCGGGCAAGGGGCTGCGGCAGACGAAAAGCGACAGCTAGAGCGAGAGATTCAGGTGCCGCCCCGTTGTGTTGCGGCAAGGTGTTAAGCACTCTTTGGCGGAAACGAGGCAAGCATTCGTGGTGGGATTCGTAGACGAGGCTGGACCTGGGCAGCTGGACGCTTATGACACAATCGCCGCGCGCTCACATTTCTTGCTTTTAAGCCAGAGAATAGGCGATATCAACCTCCCTCGGGACTTCACAATGGCGTACACGAGGAGCATTGCATCGTCCGAAACTCGTGCGTTCGTGTCGTTCTCGCCCTTTTCTCTGACTTTCCGAGGGTAGCAAAAAACATCGTCACCGTCCATTGCTTGCCTCGTCTCCACACGATACTCCCTTGGGCTAAACCCCACTGCAGGCGGAACGAGAGCGGCAACGAGAGAACGAGATTCGAGCCTTCCGCGACTTCTCCTTGAATCTGGCTTCCACACCTTTGCCTTCTGCGTTAGGGGGCCAAGGGGGTGACGACCACGATGATGCCGGGTTCCCACGGGGCCCCCCAAAACGAGCAGAGTACAAGACCGGTGTCGGCGTCAACCTGGACGCATTGAGGGATCCCACCGTAAGTACAGCTCGCAAAGGACAAGTTGGAGCAGGAAATGTTCCCGTGCTGGCTAATCCCTTGCCGAACCAACCCACCAAACAACGCTCGCGTAAAATATTGCTGCCGCAAGCCTATCGCACTCATTGCGTGGTATTCTACCTCTCGCAGTGTTACCCCAAAAAACCGCGGTTTCGTATCGAACCCATCGCCGTATTGCCCTCGTTTTTATCCAGCTCGCTCCTCGGAGTCGAGGCAGGGACAACGACCCGTTGACGGGAGGAAGAGACAACCTGGCGCCCACCGGTGGAATCGGGGTTGGAGGGAGCGGCGGCACGGGCAACGCCTTGGGCCCTGGGTACGTGTTGTGCAACCAAATGTAGCATTTCTGTGACCGTACGAGTCGTGCCGCACTTTCTGCGGAACCAGGATTATTATTGGGGGCACACTTAAGAACTGCGCGGGAATTGCTGAATCGTTGTCCGTCGCTCACCACCTCACCCCCGGTCCATTGGTTCTCTCCGGTGTTTCGTGAAACCGTCGGTACAATTCTCGTTATTGATGGCAGCGGCGGTGGCGGTGGCGGCGTTGGGGGAGGCGTGGGCCGTCGGCTTTTCAGTGTAGGAGGAGGGGTAGGCGCGGGGTGCGTTGGGGGGGGGGGAATCGGAAACGGGGGCGACGTGAGCGGGGGCGGATCATCTCCACCGACGGCCTCGGCACGGTACCCGCCGCTTGAGCATATCCAGAATCCTCCGCAGCCAGACCCGAAGGTGCGTCAGACTTGTTGCCCGGACCAGTGCAACGTTGGTGTGTCCCCTTGCGGAAAGATATCTACTGCGTACTCCGTGTGCTACTTTGACGACTGTCTTAGCGCGACATACTCGTCCTTCCGACTGAAGCAATGACCCAGACCTGAGTCAGAGTCCTTCGAAATACTTGACACAGCAAGGAGAGACGAAACATGCCCGTGGGGTCTTTGCTTTAATATCTTTACCTCACGCTAGCGATGCGTTTACGACGTTAGCGCCTTTCTCGTTAGCGTGGAAGTAGCGGGGACCAACAACCATCGCAACATTCCTGCATGCGCCGAAAAGTTCCTCTGGAGCGGCTACTTACCTTCATGGCAAAATGAGATCGAATGTTGAATTAACGGGGAGAAGACCAGACCCAGATGTAGATTTTTCTTGATGCTCAAGCGGAATATCTCACGCTGTCCCAGCTGGCGCCTTGTTGGATTAATTATCTTTGGGAGAGTCGACTAAAACCGCATCGGAGTGGTCAAAATCCGTCGGGCACAACCAGGTTTCATGACGGTTTCGAACAGACGCCAAATCATGCTTCGTTTCTGTTGTTTCTCGCTCAAAAGGCCGTGGCCGATATGGACAAGTTTCCGGGCCCTCATTCCAGTGGTAGCGGAGGTGCCGGGGGCAGTGGCGGATCGATCATCGGAAAGACTTCGCCGCTCAACGGCTGCTACCCTATTTCCCCCCTGCACGTGAAGAGACGAAGCTCTTCTAACCCGAACTCGAATCCTTCCTCGGGGGGCTTGGGGGGTGCCGGCCTCGGAGAAGAGAAAATAGAAACGAAAGGGGGAGGAGGCATGGGCATGGGCATGGGGAGCGATAACCTGGACGCCGGCTACCTCCCACAGCTCCGACGAAGCGAGGGTTGAAGTGGTGACAGCGCGGGTTGTCAATCCGTACGTAATACACGGCGGATCATTGTCTTTTTGACGGTGCCATAGTGCGTGCTTCTTGGATGACTGCAAGAAAACGTCTCAGGGTACGCTTCTTTCACGGACACCAAGAAATATGGAGCACTTTTGTGCGGACGGGGCGTCGCAGGCTTTCAACGACTGAAACGTATCCCCTAAAAGTGATGATAGTTTGTTTGACTTGCTATCGACGAAGGGCTAACATGCTAAATCGATTGGGACGATGTGGGGACGGGCAAGTGAAATGACGGAAAATACGACTCCCATACCCCTTGACGCACTCCAACCAGTCAACCATCCAATATTGCTCGCCCTTCAATCAACTGTGCAAACGTTTTTTGGTTAAGTCTCGTCGCCATCGGGTGGGTGTGAAATCGCCTCCTGGTTGAAAAGACCTGCAGATGATTGAAGACAGTACTGGTCTCTCACGGTTTGCTGTCTCTTCCACCTAACTCCACCGTGGCTAAGGCGATAAATACTTTGCAGACAAGTCTGCAGCTCGCCTGATCATCAATGGTAGACATCAAGCTTCAAAAGATTGAAGAGACGAGCGAAAACTAATTTGACTAACCGGAGCCTCCAATACGCCCAGTATGCGTGTGTTCGCATGATCGCTGTGTATTCCTCCTTGCTCTTTGTCGTACTTGGCCGTATCGACAACGTACACTAGTATTATTGCGAAGAATCGCAGACCTCTAAGGGTTGACAACTGGCAGCAACACCCAGCCAGCGGGTCGTTACAACCTGGCGATGATATCTACCGTCGTGAAGCTGGGCTCTCGCCACCCTCATTCACATCGTTCAGCCAGGCGGATTTCATCTCACAGTTTTAATTTCCTGCATATGCATACCCCCACGTTCCGACATCCATGTCGGGTGCTTCGTTACCATTCTATGTCTGATATGCGATCAACCCGTGCACCTCCGCGCCGATGTCTGTACTTTTTTTTCTTGATCACGTGATGTTGGTTTGCCCAATGCCTCCAACCTTGTCGGTCGTGCACTTCCCGACTGATTTTTCAGCGTTCTTTAAAGCGCTCGGTCATGCGGTCTCGATTGCGTAGGCACGTTGTCCCTTGTCCTCTTCAACAACAAACATCTCACCAGTGGTGCCTCATCCAAGGGCATCTCATTCCTGCGAGAGTCGCACCGGCTCCTACACCCTGTCATCGGTTTTTCCGACGCCCCACCCGTCACCCTCGCCACACCGCGCCTCTGTTGCCTGTTCTCCTTCGACTACATACTGAGAAGCCTAGATGCAGCTGTCCTCAACCTGTCCTCAACTGCTTGTTTATCTTGAAAAGCACAGAGTTCCATGCTTTGCTGGGGTGGACATATTGTTTTGTTCCTTCCTTCTACTTCTCAATGAGGATAACCCTAACCGTCTGACATCAGCAAGATTTATCTCCAACGCTATTTGCGCCCTGTTCTGTGGTGGAGGAGGTGACCAATGCAAAGGATCACGAGGGCGATGCCCTTAAATTGGCGTCGCCGAGACAGGAGATAGATGCGCGTGTCTGACTTTCGCGGCAGTGTAGGCCCGCGATCACATCCATCCATCCATGTGTCGATCCTTTCAGGTTTAGAAAATATGCATATCCCGACAGAAAGACTAGTCTACCCGTTCACCAGATGTGCTGGTGAAGAATTTTCAGTGAGTGGAGGTGTGGACCAGGAAACACGTCAATCGCCGCCAACCGGTCGGATTCCGGTTTCCCTTTGTGGCAGCCTGCTTCTCGTCTGCAAACGAGAGAGACAACCCCCCTCAGAGAGGAGGAGTATTGTGGAGGTGACCTTAGCAAATGAAAACTGCGTCTGTCTGTCGAGGACGAACGACAAGAAGATTCATCCCTCCTCACACGATGATCCGTGGTACCTTTTGACTCCATCGCTCTTTCGTTCTGTCTCATTCATTCTTTCATGTCCGTTCATTGTTGTCCGCGCAGCGACTCACTCGCCTCGCTGTCGGTTGCAGAGTCCTTGTACTCACGTACCTGCGGCGTAGGTATTGGCGCCAGCAGTCATTTAGCCGTGTCGATGCCACAAGCAAGTCGGAAGCAGTGGATTCAGCCTGCTCCCCGGCCGGGGCCGAAATCGACCTAGTGAGTCCCTCGCGGGCGAACCAGGCCACAACAGATAGTAGGCGGGTGGTGTCCCAAAGTACAACTCACCGCCGCGCTGGCTTAGCGTGGCGGTGAGGATGCACAGACGGTGGTAGTGGCGAGAGGTGTGTACGGACACTGTCTCCGCGGCAGTAATGCAAAGCGGCAAACTACACCTGGCAACCACCATCGCGGAAAGCGTGGCCCACGAAGCTGGAGGAGTAGAGAGATTCGCAAACACCACGTCAGTAAGCACCGCTCGCGGGAGAAGGGAGACAACCGCGGGCACCGCGGGGAGGGAGTGCTGCACCCTCCTCGTCAAAACACCACAGGCAAGAACCGAGCTCTGCAGAGATGGATTGATGCGAGGAAATTCGCCGCTCGGAAAATATGGAAGAACGCACACCCACAACGCGAGGTGGACCGAGAGAGACACGAGACCGCAGCGGCCGTCAAGGCGGCTGCGAAGAAGAAGGCACGAGAGGGCGACCTATCGTTCAGCACGTTCAACGTACGCACGCTCGCCTACAGCGGTAGGAACCCCATCGGTCACAACGTGATGACGGTCATGCAGATTTGTTCCGCGACCGGCTGTGATGTGATAGGACTTCAGGAGACCCGACGAGCGGGGCAAGGTTCAATTGCACACGACG